GTGCTCTAACATTTGCCTAGGTCGCCTTTTCAGGTTTTCGGCCTAGCGAGCCTCTCAAGGGTAATATTTCTTCAACTTGTCCATATTGATCGGTTGGGAGAACTCTAGGCCATCTAGATCCATCAGAACCACAGCTCCACCTGACCAGATAGCTTTGATGATGTAGGGACCAGTCCAATTGGGTTTGAACTTGCCCCTTGGGTCGTGGATGGGAGCTCGGTTGTGCTTGAGCACCAAATCCCTTTCCTTTAAGTTCCTGGACTTAACCTTCTTGTTGAAAGCCCGGGCAGTTCTGCGCTGATAGCCTTGAACATGGTACAGTGCTTTTAGTCTTCTCTCGTCAAAAAGCATGAGTTCCTCAAATCTGCTCTGCTGCCAATCTGCTTCGGCTATTTGACACTTAGCCAATACTCGTAAGGACGGAACCTCAATTTCGATAGGTAGAACGGCCTCCATCCCATAAACTAATGAATACGGAGTCGCTCCGGTAGAAGTTCTAATTGAAGTCCTGTAGCCCCACAGAGCAAACGGCAGCTTATCTGGCCAATCCCGGTAGGTTTCCACTATCTTTTGCAGTATATGCTTGATGTTCTTGTTGGCGGCCTCAACCGCTCCATTGGTCTGCGACCGGTATGTGGATGACTTATGAAAAGCCACATTGTATTTTTCCAACAAGTCTATCATTTCCTTCTTGAAGTGGGAACCGTTATCTGAAATTATCTCGTTTGGAACCCCGTAGCGACAGATGATGTTGTTTCTGATAAATTTCGCGACGTGTGAAGCCTTCAACACCGCATAAGATTGGGCCTCGACCCACTTCGTAAGGTAATCTATCGCTACCAGGATAAACTCATGCCCATTCGATCCCTTCGGGGTAACAGCCCCGATCCCATCGATTCCCCAAACTGAAAACGGCCATGGGGACGTCATGTTGTACAGCTTTGACGGCGGGATGTTCATACGATTTGCATCGATCTGTCATTTGTGACATCGCCGAACAAAGCCGATACAATCCTCTTCCATGGTAGACCAGTAGTAGCCTTGTCTGAGGATCTTTCTGGCCAGCATTACCCCGTTCATGTGTGCCTCGCATTCTCCTCCGTGGATGGCCTCCATCAGGCGCTTCGACTCTTCAGCTTCTACACAGAGCTTGTGCATTCCCAGATGACCTCTCTTATACAGCTTACCCCCACAGATGATGAACTGAATAGCCATTCTTCTGATTGCCCTTTTATCCTTGGCATTTGCCCCTGGTGGATATGCCTCCTTCTCCAAGAAGTTCCAAATGTCGTAATACCAGGGGTTTTCGTCCTGGACTTCGTCTATGGCAGCGATTGATTCATACGCCAGCACGAACTTCTGATCAATAATGACTGGACGCATCCGGACTTCGGATGGGATGTCTATCATGGAAGATAGAGTTGCAAGTGAATCTACGAACCTGTTGTTCTCTCTTACTAGGTGGGTGAATTTTAGTTTCTCAAACCGAGGAATTAACAAATCCAAGGTTTGGTGGTAAATTATCATCTTTTCCTCTTTGACTTTCCAGTCTCCTTTTGCTTAAGATACAACAAGGTTCGAGTCCCCAATGACGTCCAACCGTCTCGCCCTTAGTTCTTGGGCTGCTTCTAGGCCAGCAATACATGCCTCATATTCTGCTTCGTTGTTCGAGACTTTGAACCGGAGCTTGAATGCTAAGGGGATACGTGAATCGTCAGGCGCTATCAGCAACACTCCTATCCCATACCCGTCTGGTTTGACGCTCCGTCAAAGTACATCGTCCAAGTTTCATCTTTGATGTGC